GGGGGGGGGGAAGACATTGAACTTCGGAGTTACTGCTATCTCAGTAGTATTTTACAGTTTGCCTGTGTACCTGTGTATAAATGACAGTATTCCCAAGTATCCAGGCAGGAAAATTGCACAAGGAATATTCTCTGAAACTTTCTGAGTTCTGTGAGAGTTGTGCATTCTATGGCTAACAACCTACTAGTATTTCAGGAATTCCCTCCATTTCCATTATTCTAGCTGTGAGATGCTGACTAATTAATCAGATTTACCCCTTGCATATGTTTAATGTGAAACTGCCTAAAAGTAATTTTATAATTTTATGAAATATTAATGAAACCAAGAATCTGGCAGACAAGAGTCATTGATTTATATCAAAACCTGATGCCGTTTGCAGAAGTGTAACTGCTCCTTTGGAAACCTGAACACAAGATGAATGCTAGACTACCTAAAGTTATTCAATTATCTGAAAGTATAGAAAAGGTGTATCAGCTCTAATCTCACTTTGCTGAAAAATACTATACTTGTGTCAAAATTTCTTAATATGAAGTATGGAAAAAGAGAAATAAAAAACCCACTGTGAATCTATGGCCTTCTCAAGTTAATTTGTAGTTCCTCTGTAGCTCTGAAATGCTGCATATCTTAGAAGAACTGCTAAGTACTCACTGGAAATTCATCCACTGCAGTTGTAAATAAATCATGTCTGGCAGAGCTGGCATTTGTTTGAAGCTAGGAGAATAAGCAGAGAGTAATCCTAACAGATATGTTTACTAAGAATAATGTAGAAAAAGTATATTGCCTACCTTAAAAATGTAATTTTTGAAGAAACACATCTGGTATTGTGTTTCTACTTGATATGTTGTTTTTAAACATCCAAAATGTCTCCTCTTTTAAAATAGTCACCGTGCTTTTTTAACCAGGACTTTGATGAGTGGTCAAAGTCTGTCTACCATCCCATGATTGAAGTAATAGTGTTGTTGATAGTAAAGGATAGCAATGAGTTTCTATCCCCATATTTTAGCGAATATTAACAGAACACAATGAAACAATTTTCATAGAATTGTAAAATGGTTTGGGTCAGAAGGCACCTTTAAAGACCACCTAGTTCCAACCCCCCTGCCATGGCCAGGGACATTTTTCACCAGGACAGGATGCTCAAAGCCCCGTCCAACCTGGCCTTGAACACTTCCAGGGATGGGGAATCCACAGTTACTCTGAGCAACCTGTTCCAGTGTCTCATCACCTTCACTGTAAGAATTCCTCCCTTATGTCTAGTCTGAATCTTCTAGTTTAAAACCATTACCCCTTGTCCAATTATTACAGACCCCAGTAAAAAGTCTTTCTCCATCTTTCTTATAAGGCTCCTTTAAGTATTGAAAGGCCTCAATAAGGTTTTCCTGAAGTCTTCTCTTCTCCAGGTTTAACAACCCCAAATCTCTCAGTCTTTCTTCATACAACAGGTGTTTCAGTCCTCTGATCATTTTCCTTGTCAGTCCTCTGGGCCTGCTCTAACAGGTATTTCTTGTGCTGAATCCCCAAAACTGGATGCAGTACTCCAGGTGGGCCTCGCAGGAATGCAGCAAGGGGAAAGAATCACCTCCCTCAACTTGCTGACCACACTTTTTTTTTTTTTTTTAATGCAGCTCAGGATATTGTTGTCTTTCTGGGCTTCAAGCACACATTGCTGGCTCATGTCCAATTTTTCATCCACCAATAACCCCAAGTCCTTCTCTACAGGGCTGTTCTCAATCCATTCATCACTCAGTCTGTACTGATACTGGTGACTGCCCCAATCCATGTGCAGGACCTTGCACTTGGCATTGTTGGACTTCAAGAAATTCACAGTGGCCCACTTCTTGAGCCTGTCAGGGTCCCTCTGGATGGCACATCCCTTCCCTCAAGCATATGAACAGCACCACTGGCTTGGTGTCATCTGCAAACTTGCTGAGGGTGCACTCAATCCCACTGCCTATGTCATTATTAAAGATAATGAACCAGTTCCAGTACGCACCCCTGAGGGACACCAGTTGTTGGACTTTGAGCCATTGACTGAAACTCTTTGGATGCTGCCATCCATCCAGTTACTAATCCATCTAATAATCCATCCATCAAATCCCTATATCTCCAATTTAGTAACAAGGATGTTGTGTGGGACTGTATCAAAGGCTTTACAGAAGTCAAGGTAGATGACATCAGTTGTTCTTCCCTTATCTACCAACTCAGCCATTCCACCATAGAAGGTCCCCAGATTAGCCAGGTACAATTTGCCCTTTTTGAAGCCATGTTGGCTGTCTTTAATCACCCCCCTGTCATAAATATGCCTTTACATAGCTTATAGGATGATCTGTTTCATGATCTTACAGGCAAAGGGGTGAGGCTGACTGGTCTCCCTCAGATAACTAGATTTCATTATAAAGTTGTACCTCACAGAATCACAGAATCGTCGAGGTCGGAAAAGGCCTTGAAGATCATCCAGTCCAAACCATTAACCTAACACAGACAGTTCTCAACTACACCATATCCTTAAGAGCTATGTCAACCCGACTCTTAGACACCTTCAGGGATGGGGACTCCACCACCTCCCTGGGCAACCCATTCCAACACCTAACAACCCCTTCTGGAAAGAAATACTTCCTGATATATAGTCTAAACCTTCCCTGGTGCAACTTGAGGCCATTCCCTCTTGTCCTATCACTTACTATTTGGTTAAAGAGACTCATCCCCAGCTCTCTGCAACCTCCTTTCGGTTAGATGTAAAGGGCAATGAGGTCTCTTTATTAAGATTCTAGTAATAAGATAGGAAAGCATGCTAGGGGGCTAAGCAGAACTTAAGTCTTTCTGCAAACTCAGATGAAACCTACAGGGACTCTGACTGGCTATGGCAGGAACCAGGTTCAGTGCTAGGAAATTTTGCAAAAGCATCACGACCAAGAAGTAGGATTATATATCTCCACTTCCTCAGAAACTCCATTAGGTACCTAATGGATCACTGCAGGTGTTTAAGTCTCAGAGTGAGATGAAACCAGGCTATCGATAGAATTCAGGTATCTTTTTTACTCCTTCAGGCATTTACTTTATCATAACAGTCTCACTGAACAAAAACACTACATTTCAAAGCCAAGCTGTATAAGAAGGCAGAAAGTCAAATAGCAAACAAGGCAAAACAAAGGGAAGTCATTAACAACCTCTAAGAAAAGCTGCTTTCTTTCTTCATCTATTTATTATTTAGGGCTAGTTGAAGAAGGAATGTTTTCAAGCGAAAAAGAACTGGATAGAGCCTCTCTGAAGGCTTTATTCTGTCATATTTGACACCATTCACTTTCCTCCATCCACTGTTATGTAGTCACACAAGCAGCGCTCATTTCTGCTAGTACAAGAGGTGCTAGCTCGTGTAGCCCTTCCTAAAAGACTGGGGAAGGATGGCAGGGCTAATGAGCTTTTCTGGGAAGTATTTGTCTGCTTTCTATTGCAGACTTGTTGAGGTCTGAATAAAGCAGTTCAAGTAGTTGGAAGCAAGGCAGGAGCTTAAACAGTAAATCATTAGGCTGAAGCGTACATGCTTCTGCAGTGCTCTCAGCCAAAAGATAGAGTGTTCAGGGAAGTAACCAAAGGAAAAGTTTGTGTCTCCTAAATGGCCAGTGTATGCAAAAGGCTCCTATAAGCCCTCAATCTACTGTAGGTAGGCAGACTTTCTGGGGATAACCATGTGTGAGACACGACTTGTAACTCCCTGAAACAGGACCTGAGAGAAACAGGCCTGAGAGAAACAGGGACTGAGAAAAACAGTCTGAGAAAGATATAAGGGATGGGGGTGAACAAAGGCCTCTGAGCCAAGGAATGTCTATAACACTTGCAAGTAATGAAACTATAGTCACGGAGTGGATACTGTGGAGTTTGGAGCTGGTAAGGCTGCCTGGATAGCACAGGATGCAGCTGCCCCTAAAAGAAAGTTTTGCAAGGACACTCCATGGCCTTTCAATTGCCAGGGTCATCTCAGAGCTGAATTCTGTCCACCTCCCACAGCAGAGATCAGGAGGAGAATGAAAATGTCCTTTGGTGGTTAACAGTGATAGTGTTTTCTTCTTATTGTGCTCTCCTCATTGGCACACCCATGTTTCTTCTAAATAAATCAAGCTGTCAGAAATGTCAGCACAAACCAAGAAACACTCTGTGTGTTTTGTGTGAAACTGAGCTAAAGTTTCAAACCGCTCAAATCAAGGCTTGGGAGTTTCACAGGCCTATGTTTAGTGATCATCCTGCCATGCCATCCATGGCTTTTGTGGTATGTTTAAGTGAAAAATGCATGATTACAGGAATATAGAAAATGGTGACTTGTTAGCATAAAGAACTGTAGTGTGAGAGCTGAGGCAGCAGTTGTACTCATACTGCAGTCTGAACGAAAACGTAGTCAAGAGCCAGGGAAGTTGCATGCTGCAATTTTTTTCCTGCAAGCCCTTTGCATTTCAGTCTTTAGATCTCATTTAGATCCACAAACAAAACCTACACAAATTAGATGATTCTAAAGAACACAAGAATGCAGTTAAGAAATTCTGCTGTCTGCTGACACCCCTGTGCCACCACATCTTCTAAGTTCAGGTTCCAAGAAAAGCATTAAGAATGGAAACATTCAAGAGCTCAGCATGGATATTTTTTGGCTGATTGTTACTGTCAGTAAAATGAGAATGAAACAGTTCCACGATATAAACTCCAGTCTTTCTGGCTGATCTGGTTTCTCCATTAATTCAGCTTTTGGGCAGGAAGTTGTCCTGTGTAATAGTCACAACTTCTTCAAGGTGTTCTGGATGAGAAGAAGGGAAACTTTTCAAAGTTTTAAAATCCATCTGGCAGAGGTCAGAGTCAGTCAAAATAACCTTTAAAAGAACTAATGTAACATACTTTCCCTTGATTCCCCATTTGACTGGAGCAGGAAGATCAATGGACAAACTCTTGTGAGATGGAGTAAGAGAAAAAGATTGTCTTGATTATGAAAAGATTTTACAAGTTCAATCCATTTGCATTACATCCACAAAAAGAACAGCTGTTATTCTATATTGGCCTAGAATGGGTCTTTCTGGTGATCTACATCAAATCACAAAGCTCTGGAGTACAAATCATAATAATTCATTGGCAAGATACTTCCATCTACAGCAGAATAAGGTAATTTTATTTGACATAATCATTTTGCACCCCTTGAAGAAGAGAACCAAATAGACTTAGCATAAGAATGTTCTAAAGTAACACTATCCAATTATATACAAAGAGGGGGGAAAAAAAAAACGCAACAAAAAAAACAAGGCCGGCAGCAAACCCCAAAGCAATTATTTTGTTCTAGAGTTGATCCACTGTATTTTAATAAGAGCCTTTGCAATTACATAATGACCCTTCACGCTTAGCAGCAACTGTTGTTGGCTTAATTATATAAAATTTAGTTCACCTCTCCAGAACTGCCCACACCTCTTGAGATAAAGACCTTCAGCATGATAAAGCATGCATGACAATTACAAATGGGTAAGCAAAGTGCACCACAGAGATGGCAGTATTTGTCCTGTAAGGAGTACATTTTACCACATCAGTTCTTAAGCTGCATATGTCAAATGTATTAATGGGCACGTGACTCTACATAGAACTGCAACCTTCAAGACACAGTCCAAGCCAGCCACAGATTTAGATGGGGTGGAGTGCAGTAACAAAAGGGACTAGACTGGTCTCCATCCTGCTGTTAGCTGCAGTTTCTCTACCACAGTATCAGCAGCTGATGCAGCTGCTTTCCAGCTCCTTCAGTTCACATGTTGGGTCTGGCTGATGGAGCCTTCAAGAGAAAGCAGACACGCAACAGAAGCAGTGGCAGTGTGTGTGCACATCGCCTAATGCCACAACCCAACACCCTCTCCTGCTGTGTCTCATGTCAAAGGATGTGGAAGAGGAAGAGCTTGCTTCTCCCTCACCCACACCATTTGACTTGAGACTGCATTTCCCCTAGTGTGATTTTCCTTCCCATCCCTTGTAAGAGTCTGTCTTGTGGACAGCAGTAGATGCACTGCAGCTAAGCTCCATGCCAACTGATGGATGGCTCATGGCTGCAGCTATCATGGTGCTGAGCCAGAGCTAATGAGCCCTCCTGAGTGGCCACATATGTTAGGTCTGGCTCGGTGCTGTGGCAACCATCGATGTGCAGCCCCTCCCAGAAGGGCCTTGAGCCTCCTCCATCATTCCCAGAGGAGGGGTCTCTCTGTGTAGAAGGGCCACACCACACTGGATCTCAAAAGGATTGAGGTAAGCTCCATGGCATTTAAAAATCCAACCAGTTTCAAGATGGCTGTGATACCCTGGAACCTAGCAATAGAGCAAATGACTAGTTCCTACCTCTTCTCCATTTCCTCCTGCAAACCTCTCTCACCCACTCACCCAGGTAGCAGAGAAGTATATTATCACTTTTTCTCCTGAGAAAAGATGCTGGTAGATAAGAAGTGCACGCTGTGAAAGCATGTCTAGGTAATTTATCTTCAATCACCTGTTCACTCCTTAAATGTTTTCCGAGATGTAGTTATCCAAAACACATCTAGTACCCAGTGGCATTTGCCTGCAACCTTTCATCTCCATGATTAGTTGATAATCACAAAAACAGGTGCTGCTGATCAATTTGCCACTAGCCTAAACTAGTATTTCATTTAGAGTCACGAAATCTAAAGCAATCAGTTCTCTTTCACCTAATTTCAGTTCTCTTTCCTTTACCTCCCTGCTAAGAGCTGGAAAACTGAGAGTCACTGCACCAACTTCTGAGTTTTTAATAGATATTTCATTGGCTCATAGGCCCTATTACTCAGCCTGAGGAACTGCTTTATCCAGTTGCTTTTCATCCTGGTAAAAATAATTGTGTCAAACACTTGAATGAAAAAGGCAATACTGTACATCTAATCACACCCTGCAGCTCACACACCAGGTTTTCACTGAGTGATGGAGACTTGGTCTTGATTGTGGAGTAAAATGGTTAAATCTCTACATTCTAGAAGAACTCTCTGTAGCCGTTTTAGCTACTAGAAGAATCTAGCGTTTTGGGAGGAAAGTGTCCTGCCAAGGGATAAATTTTATCCTCTGTTTAATTTTGTAGTTCAGCACTGATTATTTAAGCTTGCTTATAATAAATAAATAAAAGTAAAACAAATAATTGGGCTTCTTTCACACTGCTGTTGAATTACAATGCTCTTCCTATACCTGGGATCTGTTTTTCTTTTTTCAATGGCAGATTTTAGATCTTTCTGAAAAAATCTGGATATGCTATGGACCTGGAAGTGTTTTCCAGTCCCTGTTGGATCCAAGTGCATGACTCAGTCACATCCCAGTAATACATAAAAGTCAGATCTGGCCTCATGCTATTCTCTCTTATCCTTACACTTTTCATAATTACTTTAAATGTTCCAAAATTTTTGGAAGTGTATTCCTGTGAGGAAATAATGCATCCTACAATACAAAGTCTTATTTCTACTGTAACAAAGTACAACTCACTATGGTTTCCTCCTAGAACAGGCTGCAAGGAATTTACTCTAGTATTCAAAGTTGTAGGGGTTATAAGTATGCTCTAAAACTGCCTCAGCAGTGAGTAAAAGGGGATAGCTCAAGCTCCGTCTTACAGTCACTCAATTCTCAAGCTCAATTTCTTACTAGTAAAAATTCAGAAACATTTGAAGTAAAAAGTATTTTTTCATCCATTTGGGAAGCTACATATTTCCCTGTCAAATTAATTATTTACTGAAGTGACAGTATGTTCCCAAATTCCTTCCCCTTACCCTGAACACATATTTTCTGTCTATCCTCTTCTTTCAAGTGTTACTCACATAAAGACTCAGCAAGCCTGGATTAGAGATAAGAGAAGTCATTTAAGGGTTGTACGCATCGTAATATCTATCTCTCCATCTCTCCATCTCTCCATCTCTCCATCTCTCCATCTCTCTATCTCTCCTATCTATCTATCTATCTATCTATCTATCTATCTATCTATCTATCTATCTATTCTAATGCCAGTAATGCCCTCATAGCTCTGCCTATGCAATAGAGAAATATAGCTAATGCACCTGTGGCTTTCCTAAAAAAATTTACTTCTGCTTTAAAATTAACGTGTCTCCATGGCAACTTTGAGGCATCCAAGAAGGGAGAAGGACAGTATCTTGCAGAAAACATGGAGTGTATTTAAACTATGCTGTACGTGAGGAACAAATGCTCAGAATTCTTTGTAAGAGCATGGATATGTGTCCTGAGCTTGTAATGGCCCAATATCCATTTCAGAAAAACAATTCAGTAAGCGGCCACCATCACTTCTGGCTCTGAGAAACTGGCAGGGAGGAGCAGGACCAGCAGGGCAGCACTGCTGCACAGCACCCCAGCAAAGCACAGCCCACAGAAGCCGAGCAAGGAGAGCAGAGCTGGGTCAGTGTGGGTGACCCGGTTCCGCCGAGAGCCCCGGCTACCCGGCAAGTGCACTGGGGTGAGGCAGGTCCCAGCTCAGGGTGGAAAGTCAAGTCAGTGGGTGAAGGTCAGGGAGGCACGGGAATGGGCACAGGCGTACCTGCGACATAGCTTAGGCAAACACCAAGCACAGGATCCTCAGCTTAAAAGTACCTCCCGAGCAAAGGCAGGGCAGGCATCCGCGGAGCTTTGCTGTTAAAGCTGGCCCTGAGCCCAGGCAGCCAAACCCTGCGGAGGGGAGGGAATGCCCTCAGGGCCGCCACAGTGGCCACTTATGAAGGCTAGGAAAGCTATCCGCAGCTACTTACATCTTACGAGGGTCAGGGGAGAGATTGCAATGTTTTGTACCTTCCAGAGGAATGTGTCACACTGTCTGCCCGCTGGGGGTGGGCAGTGCGGATGGCTTCCAAATAGCATAGTGCCATCTGCTTCAGGGAGGCCACACTTGCTCCTCCGCTGTCATTTTTTGCAAGCCAAAAAATGCTGTTCAGTCTGGAAGTCTCTGTGTTGTTCTACATGTGGGAAAGACAACTAATAATATAAATAATGGCAGGCGCTTCTAAATGAAACATGATGTCTTTAATAGAATTATTCTAATAAAAACTGTATTTCTGCCTATGATGTCTACAACACTGTGAATTACCCTCATAAGCGGAAAAGACTGAGCCTAAGTCTGTAACTACCCTGAAGGATAGTTTTACTTCCACCGTGATGCCCTGCAGCCCACATGCCCAAGAGCTTCTTTCTGCACAGAAACCAGTACCCTGTAGGGAAGCTGCTTCTCTTAGGTGGAGCTGAGATCTACTGATGCATCCAGCTTTCACTGTTCCCAGTTTCCAATGAATATGTGAGGTATAAATCACTTCTCATCTGAGAAACACACTGAACAAATTTTCTATAGCAGAGCAGTGGTTGGGTAAAATTACTTTTAATAGTGTTAGAATTAATTTGTTATGTGTGTCAATTGAGTATGAATATTATTCCAGTGGAGTGCACTTGTTTTGATGTAGAATAGCTCATATCCAAACCAGATTATCTACTTTGTTTCTTATGACCACAGTATTTTCTCCTTTTAATTCCCCCTCTTCTTAAACAACTAGAGCTCCAAAGGTCAGCCTGATGAAGAGTGAACACTACACAATCTGCTCATTTAGTCAGCACTGCACCAGCTGTTTTAACTTTCTTGTGAGGGTAACTTCATTAGTAAGATTAGTGGTCCTTTTCACAGAGTTATTTTTTGTCTACCCCTGGATTCAGAGTTTCCTTTGTGTCAGTGGATTATGAGCTCAGATGCCAGGTACAGGAAAAGAATAAGGACTGTC